TATGATAATCTGATTGATTAAAAGCAGAGTAACAAGTTCTTACAGTATGATAGTCAGAGTACATGTAAGACTGCATTTGATTTGTGAATTCTTGGATTCCAAGGATTGTTTAAAAATAATAATGTCTAAACAATGTTCAACTAAAATATATGCGGAGTTTTCAAGGTTCAAAGTAGGGTTGATACAACAAAATAGAAAACAAAACACTGTATATAAAAATACAGTTTTGGTATTATAATTATATAATAACCACCAAGGATTTTGCAATCATTTGTCTTCCTAAACAAACAGTAAGAAGAAACATACATGCATAGATAAATCTTTACAGGCTCGCTGCTAAACACAGTTTCGTCGTAATAAACATTGAAGCTACGCTAAATTAATAGGAGACCCACGAAAGGAATCTCTTGGGGCTATAAGTTCTCCAGGGCCAGTATTAGATCGTATTATCAGGTGGCTAACAACAACGGAAAATATTAGAAAATGATAAAGCTACTCAAAAAGAGACAGGACTCAGACAACTAAAGATGTCCTACGAAGAGAGATGTCGGCAAACATAGAAATGATATGATCAAACAGTGCCAAGATCTTACATAAACAGATGATTGCCAACAATTGCATCTCACTTTCTGGTCCAGGCTCTGAAACTGAAAGTGAAAGCCTCTGACTCCATCTAATTACACAATGCAGATACCAACAAAGCTATAGAGTTCTTTGTACCATACACTAGCAGCAAAATTTTGATTCTCATTCTCATCCTAAAGTTGGTTTTTACAATCTACAGAATGTCGCTATTGTCTTGTTTCTGAGCAGCCAAACATAAACCAATCAATCATTATCCAGACTATGAATCTCATGAAAGATCTCAACGTCTTTAATTTATTTAAAGAAAAAGAGATAGAGAAGACAATTGAGAATTCATATTCAAGGATGTAGCATGTATAAACCCTCATTTAAGAAATAATTTAGAGATCTTTATCTGAAGAATCGTACGAGTTTCACCCACAACGATCACAAATCATAGGTGTAGTTGGAGACTGTTTTGGCTTGGCCTTAAGCATATTTGTTAGATCAAGTTCTAGAACATCTCTTAGCACCTTTGAGCCTTCTTGGAGCTCGTCCGGACTGAGAACACATTTATCAAACATATAGACATGCTGATTAAGGGCTCTTAAAAGGTATCAACAATTCAACATGATGGCAGCACATAAGCAGTATAATAGGAGAATGATCATGTCTTAAACCAATTTAAGTAACTAGAAATCAATCCATGAGGGGTAGTCAACATGATTGCCATACAAAAGACTTGATAAGACAACAGAGATCACATTAAATATAAATGGAGAAGAAATCAACTATAAATTAACACTTCCTGGAAAAAAGTTAAAAGGAGAACATGGCACAAAGTGCATCACATATAGCTCTTAGCTCAACCATGTAGTACCGTCTACCATCATTAATTAGGATCAAGAGTTATTGAGATGCCTTTTTTCTTGTTCATTCTAGGAAGTATTAGTGAGGATTTAGAACAAGTTTTTGGGGGCAGTGATCGAGGGTTTGTTGGGTGTTTGGCTAGGGCCTAGGACTAAGTACAAGAAAAATAACAAATAGACACTAAAATAGAGCTTCCCAAGATAAGCTAAAGGATGAAATCATTTTAGCTGAGAATGACCAGAGTTATCACTAGAAAAAGAAAAGTCTGGAGCCATTTTAGTTCCCCACTTCTAAAAGGAGCAATTAACTAATTAAAATCCCCACCATATGTGGGATATGGTCAATAACTTATATCCAAAAACGGAGGATATATGAAATAGATTAGTTAAATGATAAAGGGGAGTACCAAGGAACAGACTTAACCTCCAGTTCTCCCACAACCAAATGAAACAAGCTCAATGAAGTTTGCTGGTGCCCTATATATTTTATAGAAAAATACAGGGAGGAATGTACAAGGTTTCTTCCCAGCAGCCACATTTAGATCATGCTATGAATTGCAAGGCCAAAACCAGCAAATGTGAGAATTAGGATGAATCAGTTTTTAGCACCAAGCAGGAGGAGCACTACTCCACCTATCAACCTCATTAGAAAGTACCATCTTCATTCACATATCCTAAAGATGTTTAATGGAAATAGGTATTAACATATAAATCTCCACATTTTCTAGACATTTGTTTCTTTGATTCAGTGAAGTAGGATGCTTGCAACAATTTGAAACTTCAATCGACAGTGGACACAAAACTATCAGGTGCTCATCAAGCATTCCTCCTTACCTCATGCAAAGTGGAGGAGTCAACCATACAATTGTCTCATGTGTGGGCTTGGCAAGAACTCCTCTTTCTTTCATCTTTAGATAGATATCATATGCTGAAACAGGGAAGAAAGTCCTGCAATTGAACTCTACAGCAGTAAATAAACCCCTTCCGTGAACTTCCTTAATATAGTTTGGAAATTGCTTCTGAACCTTAAGCAGCTGATGCAGAAGTTCTTGTCCTAAATGGAAGGATCTGTGGAATAGGAAATAAATCAGTAACATTATCTATACATCTTTGGGCCACAAAAGGAATATGAAAGGGAGGAAGGAGAGGAAGAAATAGAAAAACAGCAGCTACGCATAGCAAAGCAAGCCAGATTATACTCAAAGCCAATTTAACATTGAATTCCATTTCCACGAATCAAATTCAATTTTAATTGACTAATGATACTTTTGTAAATTCTTGAGATATTGATCCTTTTGGAAATTAATAATGATAAGAGAAATTTACTCCGAAGTGTATCGCAATTTCTACTCTCAGATTATAATATTGACAAGACACACCTTTGTCAATTATGCTGCTATACTATTGCATGTTATTCAGCATGTTAACGTTCAAACACCACTTGCAATTTAAATTTATTTTAGCTGTTGGGTTATATTGCTCTAAAATGTTGAATTCTCTCTACATTGCGATCTTACCTAAATTTTCACTTTCTCTCATTTTAGCTGTTGGGTTATATTGCTCTAAAATGTTGAATTCTCTCTACATTGCGATCTTACCTAAATTTTCACTTCCTCTAAATTGTAAAAGATCAAATTTTTCTAAAAAACAGCATGATTTCCAACTTTTCTTCTTCATTTTTAATCTTGATAATGCAACACCAGGCAGGAATTTTTCAATACCTCTTAAGATTGTTTCTCCTCCTGAATTACATCTAGTGAGGCAATGGCCACTGCACTGAACAAAGGATTTCCCCCAAAGGTGCTGAGAACAAACATCAATAAGAGTGCAATGAGCTCTTGCAGAACCAAACACAATTAACAGAAAGATCAGAAAGACACTTTAGGCATTGGAGATAGAACTAGAGTGGATAATTAAGAGCTTTTGCAGACTCTCAGTCGCGCATATCACGAAAACAAAACCACCAAGTTTCTTTGAAGATAAGCTGTTTAATGATGGAAGTGACACCATTAAGCAAAGATTACTAGGGATAACTACAAACCTTCCATGTTCTCCAGGTTGAATGCAAAGCATTGTATCTCTGTCAAAAAGCACACCTCTTACAGTTATTACACCCCACCCAAAGCTTTTCCTAGTACCTGAATTAGTCCATCAATATTAAATCTTTAGAAGCATATTAGAGAAGTTTATAAAACTGTGAAGTACATTGATTTAAAAGGAAAGGCAGCTTGAAATAAATATTAACCATAAAACAAAGCGTATTCAATACATAAATTTACTAGTACTAAAAGTGCAATTGTCCTATCTTTTAGCATATTCAGTCAGTCAAAACTTTGTTTAATAGTATAAAAGATGGGAACCAAATACAGTTATATGCAAGAAATAGTACAGGAATTTCATCAAAACTTAGAAGTTAAATAGGGCCTTACCACAACGTCTGGACGAACTTCTTCCCAATCACAAGCCAACATTTTTCTTGACTGTGCTAGGCCACTTTGTATCTCATCAGCAATCATTAGAATGTTATATTTCATTAGAATGTTATATTTCGAGCAAAGATCTCTGACAGTTTTGAGATATCCTTCTGGAGGTATTATAACCTATCAATGAAAGGGGAAAAAGGAACACTCTCAAAAGAATAAAGGGAGAAAAGGAGTAAATACTGAACTGTGCTGGATTTCATGAAAAGGTTCTCCCCACACTTGTTGTGAAAAAGGAAAGGAAGGAGCTTTTTTTTTTTTGTTGGAATCTTCTGTGGTCTCTGAATCAATTTGACGATTGGGTTATAATTCTGTACATTATGTAAAATTCTCTTTCAAAAAAGGACTTATTAAACTAGCAAATTGGACAATTGGTGAAAATGCTAACTCGTTAGTGATTATCTGTGTCAATGGGAAACCTTACCGGTTGAGAGAACTCTCCACCAAAGAGGTCCCAAGTTTAAATCTCCCTTAAAATTAACTGTCAATTTACTAGTCATGCAATTGTATGAGATAGTCTGGCTCCTAATAATAATCAAGAAGGTAAAAAGCTAAAACTCTCATAACTTCCAAGTTAAAGTTAGCAAGATCAAAAGCACTATTTATATATATCCTCAAACAAGGAAAACATGAACATACTCCTGGCTCATTAAAAGTTCCCAGATGCTATACTAAATGGAGCAAAACCTCAGAAAACACTCAAGTCCTTTCAAATTACTTCACAGCCCCCGATGAGTAAATATTGGACTTAAACTTACACCAGCCTCTCCTTGAATAGATTCAAAGAGAAATCCTGCTATTCTGTCTCCATCCTCTGCACTCATAAAAGAATTGTAATGTCAGAATAAAGATACACTCAAGTCACATGTTTAGCAAAATTTTTCATTTTTTGAAAAAAAAAAATACTCTCATCTGAATATTGCAGAACATTGAAGATGGATTATTTGGAGGGAATGAACCATGTAACATCCAGAAGAATGAGGCCTCTTAAGCACCTAGTAACAAAATAAACTGAAGTAAAAACTATTCAAACCTTTAAAGATCTTCTCAAGGGCAACAGCATCACCAAAATCAACTTTAACATGACCAGGCAACAATGGCCCGAATCCACAAGTAGCCTCATTGTCACAGCTCATAGAGATGCCAGCCAATGTATGACCATGGAAGCAGCCACAACAAGAGACGATAATAGCCTGCATATGCCCAAATTTTTTACTCAAACAGAAAAATAAAAAATAAAAAAGAGAAAAAAACTCAACTAGATCTTATATAAATAAATAAATATATATATATATATATATATATATATTCCTGATATGAATACCTACCCAGAAAGAAGAATAACTCTATTCGAAAACTAGCTGCCATCCAAAATCATGAGTGCTTTGCAAATAAATCAGATAGGAAAGCAAAACCTCAGGGTTTCTGTTTCCAAAACTACTTTTTTTTTTCCCTTGTGTACTAAGCACTTGTACATGATATATATCTCCAATTACTGTCATTGGATGAAGAAAAACAGTAAATACATAAAATCAGAAGCACCCTACCCCAAAAAACCCCCTACAACAAGGAAAAAAGTGTACTGTTCCAGATAATGGCTTTACATCAGGCAAGGGGATCTATTTGCCATGCAAAGAAAGGTCGGTTAACAAAGATTTACCTCATCTTTGGGAATTTTTTTCTTCCCATAACCCCATTTCCTTGCCTACTTCAGAGCAGTTTCCAATCCTTCAGCACGAGTGTTCATGGGAAGCACCATCTCATAGCCAAACATAATTGCCAAACGCTTGCGAAAATTGGAAATCTGTCATTGTAGAAGGCTCTGGAACTGAGAGTGAGTCTTTCTACCTGTTCTTGGAATGCGTTGATGATCTTTGGATTACAATGTCCCTACAGTGGGAAGCTATGACAAATAAACTAAGGAGGAAGCCAAATTCAAAGTGCCAAGAGAATTGCAAATCATGGATTTATTTTCTTTTAACCCATCTTTTGACTGAGTATAATCGGCTTGAGGAATTCCCTCCGCCCCCTAACTCCAAGGAATAACAGGAGGAACAAGTGCAGACTAATGAGACACAGTAAAGAGGCACCTATAGCTTTAGGTGTAGGGATACTATAACATAATGTACACTCTTTATACTTGAGTAACAGCAGTGTAAGCTGCTAGAAAATCAAGATATTTCTTGTCTTCCGGATCCCATATGATTGATCCCTTTTCTTGAGAGAATACAACAGGAACAGGGTGGTAACTGTACTTGAACTAGAAAAGTGATTTTGCTAAATCTATCCCCAACAGCAAGCAATATCTCACAATGTAGCATGCAAAAAAACAAATCGACGAATACCCACTCAAAATCTTTGAAATTATAAATTGACTGCAATAACAGAGAATAAATTTCACAATATGGTCTAGACCACCAAAAGGTAAAATATTCAGCATCCATCTTGGACATTCAACATCTACTTTGAATAGATTAACCAAAATGTAATTAAATTAAAAATTAAAATTAAGCTTCAGAAAACTCAAAAGTACTCTCCCCATGAAAAAGCGTCATATTTTTCACTTCACCACATTGAAACTCAAATTCTCAAAGGTTCTCATTAAAAATTCATTAACGTAATCAATTGAGTTGACATGCTCTGGCTTGTATAATTAATCATCTAAATAAATCAACAGATAACCGGAATAAAAAAGTTCAAATATTTCACCCCAAATGAACTTGAACAAGGAACAGAACTATGAACATAAGCACACTTTAGAAACTGAGTATGCAACCAATTGAACAAATTATATTATAGAAAAAATTCTCCACAGATATCCAATCATTCTAACAGGAAAGATCAGCCAAGGCAAAAGCTTTGAAGGAAACAAATCAAAACCGACAACCTAAACCATGAATAAAATTGATAGTGAATATGTTTAAAATCAAAATAACCAAAACCCAGAATTCAAATCAAGAAAAAAAGGGGCTGAATTTGCTAGAAGCAGAGAAAGATTATGCGTAGACAGAGTCATTAAGGGTAAAATCAAATAAAACAGAAAGGAAAGAAAGGAACTAACTTGTGGGCACTATGTTCATATTCACGGTGGATGAGGTGGCCGGAAGAAGAAAGAGCTGGCTTCAGCCACAACACCATAGCTCCGGCTGCTTGTTCTGCTCACTCTACTTAACAAAGACTGTAACGGTTTCCTCGTTATTTCCCTTTTCCGGTGACACTAACAAAAAACTAGTACATTTTTTTTCTATCTTTTTGCTGTTACGGTGCAAAGCAAACTGAGATTTTTCCCTCTCTTCTCAATTATATAGGACTGTCGTTATGCTGAATATTTAAACGGTGATACTTGCTTACAAATCCCAATGTCCGTCAATTATATAATATTATCCCCGCTTGTAAGAAACCAACAAAACCAGCCCATTCTTTTGTTTAGAAAAACTCAATTACACTGTTTAAGATTTTGTACGAAGCAAAGAACTGAACGAGAAGCTATAAAACCTAGTCTTAAGTGCTTGGTTTTCCTCCATATTTATTGATCTTTCTCTATAAACACGACGCTAACGAGAATAAAATGAAAAAGATCAGACTTCTTTTCTTTTTTTTTTTGGAAAGAGAAAGATCAAGACTATATAAAACATAAAAGGAAACAAAAAATAACGAAAATATGCAAACTTTGGAGTTGATTACACGTAATATTTTATCCAAAGTACTCTGATCGCCGCAGTTGTCAGAGCTTTTTATTAGTACAAATATTAGACGTAACTCTCAACCTTACATGTAATAAGAACCTGACCGAGCACTGATGGTATGTACTTGTCATATACTAAAACTCTGGCTCTGGAATCTCAAATCTGGCTAAGTGATTGTACCTTGAATTCTTAGCAACATAAATTAAATTGTATTAAAGTTGGCAAGGTCAAGCACAAGATTGCTAGTACTCCATTAACAAAGGCATTTTAGAAATCACCCAAAAGAAAAAAACAGTTTAATAATAGATTGTTTCAGTAGGCACACAATTATCACGCACGGAATTTTTTAATAATAATAGATTGTTTCAGTAGGCACACAATTATCACGCGCGGAATTTTTTAACTTCTGAGAAACCCCAAAAATTTTTTACGCAAGAAGGGAACTCTCTGTTTTCAGATGCTAATAAGAAGAATGGCCTGAGTCATAATAAGAGAGTAGTGCAAGGCCTGACTGCTCAACTGCAACTATTATCCATAAATAATGAAAGGAAAAAAAAAAAAAAACGCATTAACAGTTTCCATTAAAGCATTTTCATCCCCATAAAACAAAAAGAACATTTCATCACAAGTTTTTACATGGTTAATAACTCCTTCATGTGTTCATTCACAAAAGATGATTCAGAACCAAGAAAAACAGCTTTTGAATTTTGAATCCAATAATATATATAATTCCAGCTGAAGCTACAGATATCACCTCTAACAGTACCACTAAAATGTCTTCCATATTTACAAAAATGTATAAACCAGAAACAGGATACTTCTACCATAAACTATACCCTCAGCCCCCTAGGTGAAGGGTGGTGTAAACTGTTTACCATCCAGTGGCATAGTTTCAGTAGAATGAATATATTCTGACTAAAAATAATGATCAACCTAAGAAAGTCCTTGACGACATAACTGCATATAATTAATATTGATTCTCATTCTAAATATAGGTGGTTCTAAATAATCTAGCTAAAGAAGAGTAAGTGATCAGTCCTAAACATAGACGCTGAAGCAGACCATATAATACAAACTAAGAAGCCAGCCGTTTGTATAGATATGAAGAAATAGAAGAAAAGAATGCAGTAAAAGATCAATAGATAGTTAATTGACAGAGAGCACACTAACATCAGAGAGTCATTTGAGATATGCCACCGGCAGCCAGAATTTCCAAATGAAACGAACTGGCTAGCAACCATTAAAAGCCCCAAAGGTTTCAAACTGCTGCCAGATGAGACGATGAGAAATGGGAATGCGAACATCATTGAAATGCTAAAGCAATCCATTAGAAATAACCAACCCTTAGGAAAATCGTGCAGAGCAATCAAAAGACAGAAATGCACCTCATAGTTTCATGGTAAAAAAATAAAATGCATATTCACTTTGTTATCAATTGCAGGGGAGGAAAACAGTCAAAGGTGGAAGAGAAAGATTGAAAAACGAAAATGCCATTGAAAGAAAGCAAATATGTGTCTGGTGAAAATAGTCATATTAGAAGCCAGGGAAGTAAACATTGTGGAGACACAGCCCACCCCTTACATTTGTACATGCATGCCGTTCTAGGAAAAGATGTGATACGTGATTGTTAAGGAAGCAAGCATCACTAATCATGCTCATGAGCTACGTAACTATTAATATCGGTATCTGACACCATAATATAAGGAATTTGCCTACAAAGCATAAAATGCAGTGTGATTCTTTATCCCCAAAGCTCAACCGATTTTCGATTTCAAAAACAAGGTTGATGAAATGTAACCAAGGCATTCTTGGAACTGGAAAGGTGACTTTAGACCATATGCATTTCCTGTTTGCTATGAAAGGTTCCACCAAGGGCATCTATATTCAGGATGCGAAAATTTCTTCATAAGCTACGTCCAAGAGACAAAAGTAAAATCATGAGATTTCAGTTCACTTGGCAAACCAAGATCCAGGGAAGCAAAAGAGTATGAGTGAATAAGTTAAATGCAATCATTCTCAAGCAGAAAACAGATCCAGATACAGGAGTTATGATGAATTTCTCATCAGACAAGCTGTGAAATTTGCAGCAATAAATGATAATCAAGGTAGCCAGAGAAGCTCAGAAATAAAATATTTCTATAAGATAAAACTGTGTTCGATTTTTGCATTGACTGATTCATCAAGCCAGGAACATTGCACAAGATTCAGAATAGAGTAAAAGGGATGGAGGATGTAATTCACAGAATTGTCAATATTCCATTTATTTCAGGTGGATGATTCCCCTTTTCTTTAGAAATTGCACTACAATCTGACCAGGGAATAGATGGAGGAGGAATAATCATCAAAGTGTCACATTGTACCATCAATAGGAGGATACTCTATTGAGCAGCTGAGAGCAAGAGATGGAAAGATAGACATATAATAAATAAACATACTATGAATTTGCCAATTACGATCACTGAAATATTTCTAGGCTCAAACATTAAATTCAGAGTATAAAAATATTGGAAACAAGGACGTCATACTAAGAAAAGACCCGATATAAAAGTTCCCAAGGAAAGAAAGATCCTAAAAAGTCTAAGATATCGCAGATGGAGAAAAGTTTAAGCGATGAGGATGGAACCTAGCTCCCATGAATGCTAAACCAGCAGCAAATCTTCCAGAATGATCTTGAAAGGCACTGTTATGGAAGAAACACAAAGAGTTCGGTTGAAGAAAACTAGAATGAGAAGCCATCTCCAAACACCAAAACTAAGTGAATGACCTAGAGGAAACATTTGATGGGGAAAATTCTAAGATTTTAACTATTCACCTTCAACTATCAAGAATATCTTTAAGTTTTAGGTGGCCATTATAAATGCCTGAATCAAGTTTTCAGCTTCATGCTTCTGCTGTGGAGTGCCAGTTATAAGAGCAACACGTTCCCCTCGTAAGGATTTGGATTCAGAAATTTCAATCATTGCCCCTGATATCTGAAAGAGAAGAGGGCAGTGTCAGAATGCCATTCAATCAAGTATTCCTAAAATATTGTGGGAGAAAAACATGCCAATGTTTATTTCATGACATGTCCACTGTTAGGACTAACAGGCCAGTGATACCATATTAATTTTCACAAGGACAACTTAATCAAAAAGCATCTGCCTAGAATAATACCATCATAAGCATATGCATAAGCTATGAAGCATAAACTGACTTCATAAAGCAGATCACCTTTCCTACTTTAATGATATAAAAAGAATACCAGTAATTGACACAAAATATCTCCCACCAACTACATAAGGCATACTAGTTCCAAAAAAATATACCTACCAAATGCAATTTTGTAGTTATTCAAATCCCTATCTTCATTCTTCTCAATGTTAGGCTTACTATTTGCTTAATCATCACGGAGAAAATACAAGTTTGGGGGAATGACTGAAAAGTGACAAACCAACCTTCCTTATGTTGGATAAATTGAGCCCTCCTTTGCCAATCACTTTACCAACTGCATTAGCAGGGATCAATATTTCAAGAGTTGAAGATGGAGGCAACCTGTATGAAGACAAAAATGGAAGAACCAGATTCAAATAGAAGGCATAAATATCAGAAGAAAGACCTTACGCACAATTTCTGAAAAGCATGATATACCCACCCTCCATAGAGCTTTGACGAATAAGAGGACATGGACCCATAGTCATTTTCACCCATCTAATAAAGAGGAAGAAAACAAGAAATGTCAAAGAAAGAAAATTAAAACTATGATGAATAAAAACAAATTCTCTATAGCAATTGAAAAAAAAGCAACAAGAAGGCTGCAGCAAAACACAAGCGGGTCAGAAACAGGTTGCCATAACTGAAAACCAAAAATAACCATAAAAAAACTGCCCTGAAATCACATCTCAGCCCAAACCTACCACAAATTCAATTAAAGGAAAGAGAAGCTGACAGCAGGCACTCAAATGAGACACGAGAAACGGATTTTCATGCTAAAATGAAAATTCTAATTCATAGCTAACTATTAAATAGAAGTCCAAAACAGCTCCCCCCACCCACACCACAATTAGAAAAAAAAAAAAAAAAAGGAGAAGCCTTAACAACAAAAAATAAGGAATGCTCAAGTGCTGATATTGAGAGGTAAATCAATCAACAATCATTTAAAACTTCAGCAGATCAATTCAATGACCACAATTATAAACCAGCAATCATATTGTTTCAGGGAAAAAAAAAGACAATGGTGATTACATAAGTTTAAGCAGCTTACTACAGGCATGCCTGAAATAGAATACAAGAAGATTTGAGTTCTGAACAAGTTATACTTAGAAAGTTTATCAACTGTTTATTAAACCTCAGATGATATCAAAAGATGAGGAAGCGGGATCTTCAAAGTAACATGATTAAAAAGATGATGCATACAGATAACACCTATGTTGAGCAGGACATGACATAAGTAAAAAAAAAGCATACATATGATGGGCAGTAACAACAATTCCACGGTTACATACCGACAAGGTTCCATATCCGTAGAGGCTGCTTGAAGACAGCACGCCAAGGCCAGTTCCACTTTCAGCCGTTTGATCAAAAGCCAAAGGAGCAGCTGAAGGAACAGAAGACAAGAGAGATGGCACTGAAAGACTGGTACCAGCTGAGTAGAAAGAATCTGCACCTACAGAAGGGTTATGACCACTGTCCTTTTCTTTCAGAACATCATCTCGGAGCCTTAGAACAATCTGTATAAGTGCATCTCTTACGATACTAGCTTCTCCAGCGAGCTACAAGATGCAGATTTAGCATACAAAACTGTTCAAATAGAAGGAAAATGAAAAGATAAATCTTCAGAGAGAAAGAGAGAACAAACCTGAATGAGCTCATCATTAGCATTGGCACACTTGGGCTTCTCCCCTTTTGATATACGGACATCTGCTTTAGTTCTCTTCCGAATTTCATTTATAATAGAACCACCTTTTCCAATAACACAACCAATAACTTTAGATGGAACAAGGAGCCTCATAGTCACAGTATCGTCATCTTCATCATTAATCTTCCCTTGAAGCAACAGAACAGCTTCAACAGCCATGGATTTTAAATCATCAGGTGACTGTCAAGTCAAGCCACATTGACACATGAGAAAAGAAAAAAATCTAACTATTTGATGAATTGCAGATAAATTAATACTGGAATCCAGAATAGAGAAATTTAACTAGGGGCATACCTCTGTAGCTATGACAGTGATAATACATTCGTCACGATCAGCCTTTGTATCATCAACCTCGATATGAGCACCGCTTGCCTGCCTTATACTTTTAATAGTACCCCCGCCCCTGCCAATGACACGCCCAATCTTGTTAAATGGGCATAGTACTCTGATTATCAACTCTTCAGATCGAGAGGCACCAGCAAAACCAGAAACTACAGGAAGAGCAGATGAATACACAGGCCAGGTACTCCCTGAATCAGCATATCCCTGAAGATCTGGCACATGTGCAGCACCCAATATTGGTGGAACTGATCTAGAATGGGCAATAGGATCTGAATTTGGATATAAGCCACCTGGTGGATAAATAGGGACATCTGATGGGATAATGATGCTTGGGGCTGCAGGAGCTTCTCCCACTGTTGTCTCAAGAGGGATTTCTTCTCTGGGGCTGAACTTGTACATGATTGCAGAAACAGCAAAAAGTGCTTTCTTAACAGCCTCTGGTTCACCAGTTATCTGTTCATAGCAGAAAAGAAACACTGAAAACTGATCAATGAAACAAAGAAGATAAATAACAACAAACTGACCTTAAACCACCATGAAGGTAATATCATATATGAATATGAAGGCTTCCCTTTTATATCAAAGCTATTTCAATCAGATTTGAACTTTAATAAATTTAGGATTGGCTCACACAGATAGCTTTGAAATCAGCCTCTACCGGACTTAAAAAAATGATTGAGGCATTAACTGCCACCCTAATAGGGTGAGAAATGATGGTTAAGATGCATACAATGTCAACGGTTGAAGTAGATTCAATTCCTGGAAACAATTGCAACCCGTCTATCACATTAGCTACATTTCTTTTTTAAGTATAGGCATTAGGAAATAAATTGACAAGATCAAATTTGAGTAGCACAACAGTAAAAATCCCCACGATCAATTGTTGCAGAATATAATGTAATCCAATGTTTACACAAGGAGGCATTCAAACACGCCATCAAGAATAACAAAAAGTAATATATATATATATATACATATATATATACTTACACTATTTGCAAACAACACAAACCTGAATGAAGTTGTCAAAATCCATGGCACAAGAATGGCTTGGATCACCGGCATCCTTAGCAGTAACTTTAATGTTGCTTCTGGTCTTGCCCCTCAGTTTCTTAATAGTTGTGCCAGCCTTACCAATAATATTTGCAGATTGGCTAGATGGGACAAGAATTTGGCATTCCTCCCTGTACTTATCTGTCCACTTCTTATCCGAATCCCCTGTGACAGTCACAGCATTTGCAATTGCAGCGTGAACTCTAAGAAGAGCATCCTGAGCAGCACATAAAGGTTGTTTGTCATTGAATTCATCATCTACCTCAACTTCTTCCTTCTCCTTCACATAACAATATATTGTTATAACCCTATCCTTTGCACCGGGATATGGATCAACCACCTTAACCTTTGCCCTCGTCTCCTGCCTAATCGAATTTATGACTTTACCACCTTTACCAATGACACTTCCAATCACCCCATCAGGGCAAAGTATTCTATAAACAACCAGTTCATCATTGCTTTTTTCATCTCTATCATTCAATCTTCTCTTCTGATTCCTATTATCCCCATCATGATCTCTTAGGCCTCGAGAGCGCTTGGCACTCTCACCCATTGATTTGGAATTCAATTCAAACGCTGAAACCATAAACTAAGTTTAAGTCCAAAGGCAATCAAATTGAGTTTGAATATAACGCAAGTATAAACAGTTAACAAAATTTAAGCTTTCTTTTCATATCAAAACTATCTGCTTGAGTTCTCCCATTGCCTTTTACAAACTTGAAAAAAAAAAGAAAAAAACTTAAAAACCCATAAAAAAATTGCAAAACTCATAGAAACATTAGTTTAATAAAACACAAAAATACCCAAAACGGAAAAAGAATCGGTTTTTAACCAACCAATATAACAAACTATAATGCATAAAAAAACCTACTTTTAGAGTGATTAAAGTTCGTTCCCATATTAATGTTTTCCATCGAAATACCGAAGGCCAGATAGATATGAAAGACAACAAATAAAGTGTAAAACCCTATAAAAACAAAAGCAAAGGCAAAGGATAGAAGCGAAAAGAGGAGATTCGAAGGAAAATCCAGTTTGAGGAATGAAGTGAGAAAGCATACCAGAGAGATAGATCCAAATAATGGGACAAGAAAAACCCTTTGACGCTGAAAAAAGAAAACCCAGAAAGGGGATAGATAGAAACAGGGAAATAGAGAGCCCTAATCTGCTGTGCCCCTTTAGGCGAGGTTTCCTTGGATTCGCAGTTAACAAGAATTTCCTCGAAAATTTCTATCTTGTCAGGTAGGATTTTTTTTTTTTTTTTAATGTTTTCCACCGCCAAGGAACGGTTTTCTGATGTATTGGTCCTCTTTCTCATTTATAAAAGAAAAATCTGCCAATCCAGTGGGCCGGGCTTGGATCAGTTAATTGAAATCCTGAAATCCATAAAGCTAAATTCTTAATTTTTTAGTTGATTCTTTGCGAAATATAGCTACGGATCTTTTCTATGCTAGTGATAATTATGCACTTACGGATATAAACACACAAGTATGTCGAATACTCTGTTTTTAATAAATTTAAAGCGTAGAATCAAGCCCATTTTTTTTGGGCCGAAGTAACCCATGGCAATTGGTGCAAAACCATCAGTCAAAAACCCAAAATCTCTGTCGGTTCTCTCTGCCCATTCTCATCTTATCTTTCCTTCTCTTTGTCTGAAACAACCCCAAACAAATCATACAAATTGAAAGATTCAATTATTGTTCTCTCATCTTTTCCGCCTTTTGTAAGTTACTGCTTCCTTTTTCCTTTTGTTCATTTATTTACATTCTTTCTTTTTTAATTTAGCAAGTAATTCTTTTTTTTTTTATCTTTATCTGTACCTTTAAATTTTTTTCCCTTTTTCTGTTACTGTTTTTTTTTTGTTTCCTCTTCCTTGATTTTCTTTTTATGCTGTGCTTGCTGGTTTCGTTTATTGGTTTCAATGTTTTTTACTTTGGTTATTATTGGGTGCTGTTTTTTCTTTGTGGTTGTGGGTTCGGTTATTATTAATTGATAAATCATTAAAAATCATCTTTTTCTTTGAGGTTTTCGTTAATTTTATGAAGTGGGATTTTGAATATTTTCATAAATTTCATTGCATTCCTGTCAAATTCAAAGTTTGCAGCAATGTTTGCTCAACTTCCTGAATTGGAAAATGTATGCAATTTAGCACTCTGATGATAACTATGTGTCTTTCAAGAATTTCCCTTTCCTCTGTCTCTTGAATAATCTTTACTCTTCCAAAAATCTTGCATAGGTGGCTTATGGAGTATAAGGTATCCATTATGTTCTCTACCATAGAGTTTTTACTAATTTCATATTTGTTCCCACTAAAACTGATTCATCATTTGACAGTTTCATTTGTTCCATTGTTAAAATCCACCCTCTCCTCGTGCTCTTGTCATCGTCATAGTCATTAGTTCTTTCGAAGAATACGAGGATTTTCATTTATCAATATATGCTGTTTATGGTCCTCTTCTTCTAGTAATTTATATTGCCTCGTTGGTGTTTGGTTGATCTTTGTTCTGCTGAAAAGATATGAACGATAAATAGTTATATCTGATGAAAGGGTGCTTTCAGCCATTATCTTGATAATGCATTTGCCTGTCTTTTGAAACAAGTTAATAACTTGGATTCATTTCCTTTTATTTGTACCAAACAGTTAATTATTCAAGTGCACTGGCATGGAAGAAGAAGTAGGGGAATCCTTGATTCAATTGGGAAGCTCAGATGGTTCTAACTCAAGCAGCTCTGATCCAGTAACTCGGGTGAGGAAGCTGCTGTTTCGCCGTATGCTGGTGGGGATCAAAGACGGCAGGTTTTTCTTGGGCACCTTCCACTGCATTGACAAGCAAGGAAATATCATTCTCCAAGATTCAATTGAGTATCGTAGCACCCGACGTTCCTCTCCATCTCCTATGGAGCAACGATGCCTTGGTCTGATTCTCATCCCTTTCTCTTGTCGAATCTCCTGTCATGTGGATTGCTCCGTAGAGGAACAATTGTCACTGCTGAAGGTTTAAGAAATGAGTCTCTGTGTCTCCATAAAATCTGTTTGAAAGAAAACAGTTTTCCCTGATTTGTAATTATCCTATTATTGTTTTCCTGGAGGAGTGATTGTAATTGCTTTGTTATGAGCAATAGAAGGGATTATGATTGGTGCGCTATAGTCTATAGGGTTTAGATGGTTATTGCTTGAATACTGGTATTAGTTTCAATATGACCTTTATTTTACCTCTGACTGCCGCTGTCACCTATGAATCCAGTTTCATGCACCTTTATTGTCAGACAAACAAGACAATATCTGGGTATTTTAATGAAAGCTTTAAGGCCAGCATGTGCTATTAATGTTTGTGTCTATAAAAAATCTTAAGATTGATTCTGCGTTTGGTTTATTTACCCCCAATACTCTCTGACTGTTGATCAAGGTCTCATCATGCTCAGCCATCAGCCAACACCCTGAACATATCACTACATTAGTTGTAAACCTAGCACTAGCTAATGGCAAGAACTACCAAATCCTAGTTTCCAATTATTAACACTACCATAGAATTTCGACCATAGTCCATAATAAGAGAATAAAGATATTATCATGATGTCAGCATTCATCACTATTCTTCATGAAAATTATAGGTCATCAAATCAACTCTCTAATTCCTTGAAACAAAGTATCGCTGATATATATTCTTGATGATCTCCATAGATATGTAGGGCATACATCAATTCACAATCACCTTTTTCAATCCAAATTATTATCAAACTTGTATTACTTTAAGTGTTTGTTTCCAGAAGATAAAAATTTGATCAAAACCTGTCACTATATGGTGTTCCATATACAATAAGGTAAGGTACAGTTCGCACGACAGTGTCAATTGGTATTGCAAAGTTCACACCAGAGGAAGCTCCTGTCCCTGCAAGATAGTATGAAACCAAAAGCATATTTTGAAAATTTTAGTATTGAATCAACCATTTTCTTTGCAAAAAAAGAAAAATCAAGACATTTCATCATTCTTTTTCATACCACTTCTGTGAAACAAAGACTACTTACATAATTATCTAAAGCCTAATTGTTCTAGAGCATTTTTAAAAATCATGATACCTTGGATTTTATATTTCAAGACTCAAATTGCCTGCTCCATTGGTACCAAGTGAAACAAAAAGAAGCACCTCCTTACCTTTTCGAGTGAAAGTTGCTGTATTAACTCCGATGACATGACCATAGGAATCGATCAATGGCCCACCCGAATTGCCTGCACAGATGTAAATCACAGCTGAAAAAAATTAATGACGTCTATAATTTTCTTCAGGAAAAGGATAATAAACCAAATGAATTGAAGCAAAGTTGGTAAGAATCAAACAGATTAAAGACAGTTTTGGGCAATTTATTTTGTTTTTGTAAAATATAGACCACTGTGCCTGTGTAGTTGATCACCACTCCTTACTAATGCATTAACAAAAGTTTGGTTGATTTGGTAGCCCATATCCAACATCAAAGAAGATTCGATCACAAAATAGGTATCAAACTTCGGCTAAATCAAGAGTAAAATGCTGTGTGAGTGTAAGCAAGATAACATTATCAATAGAAACTAAGATATTACCGGCATTAATAGCAGCATCTGTTTGAATTGCTCCTCGAATAGCCCTTCCATTTGGGGAAGGTATCTCTCTGCCCAATCCACTAACTACCTGCACTATTTGAATAAATCAGCAGAAAATAATCACATTTCTGACTCTTCATTCAATACTGTTGCTTTTTGGTAAGCCATCTTCTGTTCCCTGCAAAGGAACGGGACTCAAGAATCTTTTTTCTTATATTCTCACGATAAGAAACAAGTTAAACCCCCTTTTAAAATTACATTGAAAGAACCACCAGAAAGGTCTTAGTTGACAACCAGATCTTGTAGTAGGGGATCAATGAATAGAGTTAAGGGTTTTTGTTTGGAGAAAACAGTTCAAAAGCTAATGTGTTATTAAAAAGTTACCCCTGTCGTTAGGGTGTTCTCGTATCCAAAGGGATTCCCAATGGCAAAACAGCTCTGCCCCACACGTAAATCACGAGAAGTGCCAAGCACAACAGGTTTTAGTTCATAGCCCTCAACATCAACCTGCGGATGAAATTATATTAAAGCATTTCCCAACACTTTTTCATACAAAAAAATCATAACATAATTCAACATTAGTAAACTAGGGTTGACAGAATTAAGCACTCTCAGACCTCAGCATTTATTATTTAGTAGCCTTAACAGCCAAGATATAGCATTCCAACTAATTAACTACCTTTAAAACAGCTAAATCATAAGCTGGATCAATACCAACAATTTTCCCTTCTTTGTAAAAGCTAGTTCCTCTAGCATCAACTAAAAACACCTGAAAAAATAGGCATCAAATTATACAACAGCCATAATACTTGGCAAATGTACAATGCAGTTCATGCCTTGGCAGAATATGAGAAGTGCAATATAACAACAAATTAGAGGATAACTAGTAAAGAGACCACACCTTACATCGTTGTAACCCACTTTGATCCGTAGCCAATTTATCTACAACATGGTAATTAGTAACCTGTTACAGATTCAGCAATCTATAAACCCAAAGGAACATCAGCAAAATCATTAAAGAGAGAGAGAGAGAAATCAGAAGATAGAAACCATGTAAATATTGTACTATTACAAACTTGATGTTAAAAAGAAAGGAGGGGAATGCCCACAATGTGACCAAACTTATCCCAAATGAAGCCTGAACCTGTCCCTTCAACTTTTGCGTCTTCTTCCTCAGCAAGTCTGTCTTCCTTGGATGAGCTCTTAGGGATTTTAGCTAACTCAAGGTCTTTAATAAATACAACCGATGGTGAAGTTTCCTGCAAGAATTCCAATTAATAAAACTAGAGTAGAATCAAATGAGAAAGGATGACTGACCAAAATGTAGTTCATTTTAAAACCGAATTGAACTGCATTTGACCATTTCTTCAAGTTGCTAGGTAAGATAACCTAAACTAGCTACATAATTAATATAACAGATAATTCCACAATAATAAAGGTTTTGCAATCATCATATCAAACACAGAGCATCAAATTCAAGAACAAATCTCTGACAAATGATAAGAGCAGTGCTCCAAAATCAATTGTAACAAAATTTTTGTGCCTTGAATAGACTTATTAGAAGCTACATGTGTCAGTAAATTAGCAAAGATATACAACTAATTACAATCAGTAGGAAAAGGAAAAATACATGTGGATACCTGAAAGAGACGAATAATTATATCTTCTTCTTGATCAAGTTCGTCTTCTTGTCGTTGCAGGGCAATGGCAGAATATAAAGAAGAGACGGGATTAGAAAAGTGGAGCAAAGAAGCCATTGCAACAGTTGAACCTGAGACAATGGCTCTTCTCCTTGTAATAACAAAACTCTTATATGAAGATTCTGATGAAGAAGAAGTAATTGTAGTTGGCAATGGAGATGGCATCGTGGGCAGAGAAGCTAACACCGCCATGTTATTACAGGCTTCCTTAAACGTTAAAACTGAAAAACTGTTTCTATTGTTATCTGCTTTTAGGGATAAGGTTTGCTTACGGTGCAGTCGTTTCAGACAGTTTCGGAGTTGGCCTACTTTGGCAACTGGATAGATTCATGCTGGATTTTCGATGGTGAAAAATATTGATCAAGTGCGCAGATTCGAAGCCTAGTTTGACCCAATTATGAACTCTGGCGGGAATGGGCTGCCTGGTTTAGTCTTCAAAAGCCAACACCCATCTGTCAAGACTTAAGAGGACGTGTCAAAGTCCATTCAAACCCAAGCACTATAGCTGGCCGATGCTTGCCCACTTCTAATTAGTGTCAAACCTTGCCATGCTATGCTACAAACAAGTGTTATATGGATAAGAAATATTAATATAGATTTAATAACCAACTAGTTTTAAACCCATGCGTATGCACGGATATATATTTATATATCAATAAGTTTTATATAAATATAAATTTTTTAAAATGATAATATAAGCTATAAAGTTTATAAACAACTAATAACTTAGATAATCATTTTTATTTAAATTTATATATTTTAATATAATAACATAAATTAATTACATATTGAATATACTTATAAATTATCATCAGTTCTAAAGAAAACTCAAACTATAATTTATTAAATCCAAATAATCTCTAAATAAAAGATAATAATATTTTCGATTTCAAGAAATTAAAAATTCATCTTTAAAATCAATCTCATATGCAAATTTTTTTCATGGGAGATTTTTCTATAAGTTGTTGTTGAAGCAAAGATACAGCAATTGTTTTTCTAGTATTTCTTGTTATATTTGAAGCATGTGTCATTTTACTTTATGAACCGATAGATTTCACATATAGAGATGAAGAAATATATAAAGCAGCAATATATAATTTGACAACAGTTGAGTTATAATATAAACTATATATCTTTATAACAAACATAATCATTATAATAAGTTTATATTTATCTCTTTCAATAATTTTTTACATTCAAGCTTAAGATCATAATCATACACCTTATTCATTATAAATTTGGTACTACTTATCTCAAGATTATACTTGATTACTCTCGTCTTGAACACACAAATTTTATCTTAAAAATCTTCAAATGTCTCTTGAATTTTATAATATCTATTTTTCTAAATCATAAGTATAAATATATTATTCAATTAATTTGAATATTAAATAATATTAAAATAATTTTTAACTCAATACCTTAATAGATATTTCATAAAGATCGTTAATATCTCTATTAATTAAATCCTTAGCTTTTGTATTGAACTGTACGAACATCACTCTTTTAGAATTATCATAGACCTCAATATTCAATTTGTATTTATAAAAAATGTAAAATTTTACAATTATAAATATAATATAATAATTTAAAATACTTTTATTATCATTATTGAATAATAATTTTTTTATGTATTAAATAAAAAAATATAAATACAAATTACCTTAGAGTTGGATTAGGGAATCAACCTTGCAAGAATAATATTGAAATTTTTCATCAATTTCATATAGTTTCTTGTTACACCCAAATGATATATAATACCAACCAAAAATGATATCAACTTTTATGATATTGACTCTACTGATGAAAGATTTTTCTTGTATATACCCAATTATCTTTAAATTAATCATCAACAAAAAAATATTAAAAAAAAGAAATCTAATATCATAGTTAAAGAAATATAAAATATAAATATAAAAAGAGAATAACCTACAAGCGGCACATATCAAAGTGAAAATTAGAAAGAAAATTGAAGTAGAGTTGAGTAGTAATTAAAAGATATAAAATTAGTGAAATGTGTTTAAAGATACATTATGCTTAACCTAGAGCTACTTATACAAAATGTGAGTTATAAGTTAATTAATAAGATAATTTTAAATTATGAAAGTTAATATTAAAATAATAAAAATTATGAGTGAATAATGGTCTAACAATAGAAAGTTGATTGATATTGAAATATTTTATTCCTCCATTAATATTTAGAGATCTTTTAATTTAAAACAATAAAACAAATTAATTTTATTGTATCTAATAACGGCAATAAAATAAATTAAATTTTAGTTAAATCAACGTGCATTAATATCTAGATTTTAAAATTATATAACATTACAAATAAAATCAAATGAAATCCAAGTGTATTAATATTTTATCAAATGAAATCAAACATGTATTAGTATTTTACCAAATGAAATCATATTTAATGAAATATAAATCTATCAATCAAACATAAATTAATAAAATATTTTATTTCATTAATTTAATTATAGGGAATTAATTTGATATATTTGCTTTCTATATTTACACATGAAATATATCAATTACTCAAATAGATACTACATTTAATCAAATATAAATGTATCAAATAATTGATTAGAGAATCAATTATTTTATAATTGTAATTGTAGTATTTATTAAATTATTAATTAATTATATATTGATTGATTTAATTTGTCAAATTAAGAAATTTTTAAAATTTTAATACTTTTAATATGAATTGAATTGAGAGTGATTTAAATTCAATAATAAAAATATAAATATAGTCAATTAATTAGATAATTTTAAATTATGAAAGTTAATATTGAAATAATAAAAATGGTGAGTGAATAATGATCTAACAATGGCAAATTAATTGATATTGAAATATTTTATTCTACTATTAATATTTAGAGATCCCTTAATTTAGAATAATAAAAAAATTAAATATATTGTATTTAATAATGGCAATAAAATAAAATAAAATTTAATTAAATCAACGTGCATTAACATTAAATAATAAAATTATAAAATGTTACAAATGAAAACAAATGAAATCAACATGGATTAATATTTTATCAAATGATATCAAATGAAATCATATTTAATGAAATATAAATATATCGATCAAATATAAATTCATAAAATATTTTATTCCATTAATTTAATTATGAAGAATTAATTTGATAAATTTGCTTTATATATTTAAATACATCATGAAATACATCAATTACTTAAATGTATATTATATTTAATTAAATATAAATGTATCAAATAATTAATTAGAGAATCAACTATTTTATAATTGTAATTATAGTATTTATTAATTAATTAATTATATATTGATTGATTTAATTTGTCAAATTAAGAAATTTTTAAAATTTTAGTACTTTTAATATAAATTGAATTGAGAGTGATTTAAAATTAATAATAAAAATATAAATATAATTAATTTAATTTATTAAATAATTTTTAAATTAAAAATTTATTAAATAAATTAAAATACATTTATTAAATGTCATGTGATTATTTTTAAAATCATTCATATGTCAACATTTTAAACCGTCTATATATAATTTTTTTTTATTTTTGTCAAAAGTTTTAGTTTTTTATATTTATAGAAGATATGTGATAACATTTATATGGATTATAACTACCTGTAGAATTATAAGACTCACTCAAATTCCCTCTTTCGTTTTACATGTGTTAATCAGCACCAATTGACAAGTGGTCCCAAATGTAAAAAGTTTCAAGAAAATAATCATTATGTTTGTTCATGCATGGGCATGGCTGCCTGGAGCTTTGCATGTCTTCACTTTATATGCTTCACTTTTGGTCTTGCCAGCAGCCTCATTTTTTCGCCATCTCTTCTCTTCACCAATTGGCCGTTCCATTTGATTGATCAAAAAGCAAAATGACAGGTTCCAAATGAGGATACTTTGCTTTGTTTTTTCTTATCAAGAAAAGTTTAAAAGAATGAAAGATTATTTTATTTTTAAGATCAAGATAAATTATTAATTTATAAGAAAATTTATAAATTTATAATTTTTTTTTAATTTTATAAATTATTTATTAATAAAAGATCATAAAAATTTAAATTTAAATATTTTATATTCAGATCTTAAATTTTAACTATTTACGTCAATTCCTATTGACGATACTATGTATTTTCTTTCTTACCAAGATTAAGTACGTGTGAAGTGGGAAATAAATTACCAATAAAAATCCATCGCTGCGAAGAAAAATCGTGAATAACAAGTAAACCCTGGTCGTGGCAAATTGCGTGTGAGATTACAATTGTACCGCTTCAAAATGACGGCAGTGCTGGTTGACTTGCACACCTTTTGAGGCCCTGATTACCGCCAGCTCTAGCTAACTTTCGACTTTCGGTGTATGTAGACATATTAGAGATTATTTCGTTTGAGGAAATTAAGCAACTAAGATGGGTAATTCATGAGATTTTGATATATGAAAGTGAAGCATTGATTTTGTTCATTTCTTATTCAATAAGAATTAATTAGTTGACATGAGCCACATATTAGGTACCGAAATCCAATCATTTTCCGTACTTCTTCTAGATATTTCTTTGTATTTCACATTGCCATAAGGTCAAGTTCGATGAATTTAGAAATATGAGAATTAAAATATTTTTTATATATACGAAATTCAAACATATGAAACATTTTTATTTGAAGTTAAATTTGATTAATTAATCTATTTATTTTTTATAAAAAATATATGAAAATAAGTTTTTTAACCCATACAATGTACGAAATTTTTTATTAAATTTTTTATAATTTTAAATTTATTTTTAATTATTTATCTAATATATAATCATATATTTATAAATATTAAGTTACAATTAAATGATAATTTATACATAATATATTATAAATGATATTGTTCATATAAAAGAAGTTTAAAATTTGTAAATTTTCAAGAATTATAAAAATATTTTTTCATTAAAAAATATTTTTTTCAATTTATTTGCTAAATACTAAAAATTTTGCTACCGCTTTATTCTTGTTTAATAAAAAAATTAAAAATTAATATTTAAATAGTTAAAATTAATAATTATTTTTATCATAATGTTGATTAGGTGACGTATATATATATATATATATATATTTGATTGAACAATAAATCACAATTATTAATTTTGTTATAATCATTTACTTTTTATTAGTTCTTATTTTTGACATACTTCAAGTAATTATTATACAAATATATTAGGCTAACAATCATTTCTATATTTGTCAACAAAATAAAGTTATTTTTTAGATAAAAGGAAAACAATAATTCTTTATGTTATGCTTAAAAACATTTTTTGAAATTTTTTTATTTTTAATC